AACAAGACAAAAAATCTAAGTAAGAAAAGCTTTTTTTGCAGTGTGTTGTTGAACTTGTAGATGTTAGTGGCTGTAGCTCCATGTAGAAGGCAGAAAGTAAGCTGTTTTTGCACTGCAACTGATGATCAGGTAAAAATGAGGACAAATTGTGTCAACAGTAAAGAATGCGTGATTATCTGTTGTCATGGCTTTGCAATCAAAAAATGTGCTTATAATGGAAGTCAATGGGGCAAAAACAGCCACTAACATAACCAAAGGGGAGTCGATCTGCCCACAGTGCATTGAGTTTTTAAAATGAAGATTTGTCAACAAATGTCATCACATTCGCTGAAACACAGATAAAGCTGGGCCAAATATAGCCTCCAGAGTGGATGAAAACATCTCCAACAGCACACAAGGGTTAAATAAACGAATAAACACTCACCGAAGAAGGCCACAGCGAAGCCCTCCAGCACACAGCCGACTCTGCCCAGGCTGAAGTACCCCATGGCGTTGGTCACTACAGTGGGCAATCCTCCAAACACAGCGCACCCCAGATCCGCCACCGCCAGATTAACCAGCGCAAAGTTGAGCGGCTGCCGGAGCTGTTTATATTTGAGAGTCACCGTGATCACTGTCACGTTCAGAATAACACCACACACCGAGAAAACACCGATGATCACGGCCAGGATAGTGTAACCCATCCTCGGCATGACCTCTGCAATGCTTCCTGATGCAGCCGTGCTCGTTTCAGACTCCATTTCTTCATGCATGTGGAGCAAAATCACATTAATTATAAAATAAATTAAAAATAAATTTTAATATATTGTAAACAGATAAGTATGAATATAAAACTAGATCTATAACTGTACTTGAACTTCTATGTTAAGCTGCTTAGACTCAATCTACATTGTAGAAGCGCTATAAATATGAATTGAACTGAGCAAAACATATGCCAGAGTGATTAAAATAGTAGTGATGAAAAAAATCTAAATAAAAAATATCAGTAATAATAAAATTAAAATTATAATCTGCTGTGTTTCGAGCTCCTGATAAATAGCTGAAGGAAAATTTATGAACTACATTTAGTAAAAATATATTAAATAAGTATAAATAAAATATAGAAATTCTGTATAAATTATTTAATTAAATACAAAATTAGGAATAAATATAATAATGCTAAACAGTGTCTCATAGGCAGCTGCTGGCTTTTCTCAGAGACCTTTGAGTCTGAGGGGAGTTTTAAGCAAAGTCTGCTTATATTTCAGAATATGACCTGCTGGATTACTGGCAAAATCCTTATAGATCCGGATTGGGAATGCAATAATTCTTTTTAAGATTATGGAGATTTATGACGGCACTCATCTTGATTGAGGAACCAAAACATGCTCTTGCTATGACTGTGATATTATTTCAATATTTCCAGCTGGATCTCATGAGGAAATGTAACTATTTAGTATGTTTTGTCAGTTTAGTGGCTAATTTGTATGAATGAGTTCAGTCAGCTGCAACCCAACACTGGGAAACACCCATACACACTCATTCACACACACACACACACACACACACTCATACACTATGGCTGATTTAGTTCCTCAGTTCCCCTATAGCGCATGTGTTTGGACTGTGGGGGAAACCGGAGCACCCAGAGGAAACCCACACCAACACGGGGAGAACATGCAAACTCCACACAGAAACACCAACTGACCCAGCCGGGACTCGAACCGGAGACCTTCTTGCTGTGAGGTGACCGTGCTAAACACTGAGCCACCGTGTCACCATTTTGTCTTATTTTTACTTTAAATATTTAAAAATTGTCAAAGAAGCATTTTCTAGACGATAAATAATAAGTCAAAATTGAGTTCGTTTTGCCTTAAAACAAGAAAAATAATCCGCCAGTGGGGTAAGGGCAATAACTTGTTTTTTTGTTTGACATTAGATTATTTTGCTGACACCACTGGCAGATTATTTTGCTCGTTTTAAACAAAAACTCACTTAATTTTGGCATATTATGTCTTAAAACACAATATTTCTGTGAATTTATGACTTTTAAAGGAGAACTGTAATGCAATTATTAATTTTTAAGGGGTTTAAACACAGTTGTGTGGCAGCAGTGTGTGTGTTCGTTCTGATCAACACTTTGATTGACGTTCTCCCTTTGTACGTGTCATCAGAGGGTGAAAGCCCCGCCCACTAGTACCCATCTCTTCCTCATCAGCATATGACATTAGTCTTGTTTTTGAATCTGCCACTATGCTGACATTCAGGCATCTGTAGCTCCGCCCTCTTTTGAAAAGACCACAGTCTCATTTGCATTTAAAGCGACAGTCACCAAAACACCACAATTAGGATCAAAGCCTGAAAGGGTCAGTTTCAGAGAGCTGGAGAACATCATCTGTGTGCTGTTTTGAGCTCAAATTTCACTACACATTCTGGAGACATCAGAGACACATTTTACAGCTTGAAAAAAGCAGCATAACTGGACCCCTGTAAAGCCTAAAAATTTAGTTTTGGAAATTGAAGACCTTTTTAAGACTGATGTATGACTCCATCTCTCAGACGACCACTTCTAATCCCATCACTGAAAAGCTTCTTAATAGCAGGTGCAAACAGAGCTGTTGACCGGTGCTGGCTAGCTGATTATTCATTATCATGTCAGACTAATCTTTGACCTATTTAAACTCCATCCTATCTGTGTCTTTAGGCCACAGACTTCTTTACTGGATGAAAGCATGTGCTAAGTTAACATGAGTGAATGCTCCAGGCTGCTTAAAAAGACCTCGCTTTGGTGGTTAAATACAATGTTGAACAGCAGGGGTTCTCAATTTCGTTCCTAGAGGGCCGGTGTCCTGCAGATTTGAGCTCTAACTTGCCTCAAAACACCTGCAAGAGAGCCTAGTAAGAGCTTGAATAGCTAGCCAAGGTGTGTCTGATTGTGGTTGAAGGGAAAATCTGCAGGACATCAGACCTCCAGGAACGAGATCGAGAACCCCTGCTGTCAAAGAGGGGGGGATTCTGGTGTCAGGGGCACCTTATAATATCTCTGGGGGCCCCAAAACAGCATGGGCCCTTAGAATTGTCCTAATTTCCCCCAGCTAGCGGCGGCCTGGCCTGCTATAAAGAGACAAATTAATTGTGAATTTCTTTATTTATTTAAAATGTTTATTTATTTAACTATTAATGCATGTGTGTGTGTGTGGTATATTTATAATATTCATTTATTTCATAATTATTTTATTTATAACTCTTCATTTTTAATTTGAGTTGTTTTGGTTTAACGTTATTTATAAATATTGGAGTAGTTGCCATGGGAATAATGCTATACATGCACGCATTTAACGTTAAACTTTCAATAAACAAATCCCCTGCGCAAAGGATCACTTAATGGGCACCTATTATGCAAAAATCACCTTCATAAGGGGTTTAACCCCGGGAGTGTGTCAGCAGTGTGTGAATATCTCCAGCCTCTACTGGTGAACATGAATGAATTGTATTTGTTTATAATCAGACTTGATCAAATCAGTCTGCAGAAACACTTTGATTGACATTCTCCCTTTATACGTGTCATCAGAGGGTGAAAGCCCCGCCCACTTGTGCCCATCTCTCCCTCATTAGCATATGACATTAGTCTAGTGTTTGAATCTGCCACTATTCTGACAAACAGGCATATGTAGCTCCGCCCTCTTCTGAAAAGAGCACAACCTCATTTGAATTTAAAGCGACAGTCACCACAATAATCCTAAATAAATCAAGTTTCAGAGTTAGAAAACATTATTAGTGTGATATTACTTAGAGTTAACACTTCACATTACTCTAGAGACACCAGAGATTTTACATTTCACATCTTAGCACCCCTTTAATAGTCCTTCATTTCAGCACTTCAGTTATAAAAAACACTTTAATATGGCAGTCATTGTTGTTTTTGTTTGGAATACTGTATATATGGGCGACGCAGTAGGTAGTGCTGTCGCCTCACAGCAAGAAGGTCGCTGGTTCAAGCCTCGGCTGAGTCTGCGTTTCTGTGTGGAGTTTGCATGTTCTCCCTGCGTTCGCGTGGGTTTCCTCCGAGTGCTCCGGTTTCCCCCACAGTCCATGTGGTACAGGTGAATTGTGTAGGCTAAATTGTCCGTAGTGTATGAGTGTGGATGTTTGCCAGGGATGGGTTGCGGCATCCTTTGCGTAAAAACTTGCTGGATAAGTTGGCGGTTCATTCCGCTGTGTCGCCCCCGGATTAATAAGGGGACTAAGCCGACAAGAAAACGAATGATACTGTATATATCCCGTTTGGAATGTACCGACTATAAACCCAGCCCTGTTGGCACCTGTAAACCTCCCAGCTGTCTATAGAGAAGTGCCAGTTTACCCACTGAGTTCAAGGGCACCAACTTTGGGGCCTGCAGTAGTAATTAATTGGGTACAGATTGGTGAAGGTGAGCCAGCATCTCTTACTGCGCTATAAGCTTGTCTTATATGAATGAACTAACACTGAGAAGACCATCGGTGAGTCCTGGAGGGTCACTGTCCTACAAAACTTCAGCTCCACACCTGAACAATATAACCTACGGCCCCTATGCCCTCATTCACTATTCCCTACTTTAGTCCACTAATACAGTCCACTTAAAGAGACCTATTATGCCAAAAACACCTTTATAAGTGGTTTAAGCTCATCTAGACTTTATCTAATTGACTCTCACTATAGGGGAATTGATCCACTAAATTGAGTGTGTGTGTGTGTGTGTGAATGAGTGTGTGTGGGCGTTTCCTAGTACTGGGTTGCAGCTGGAAGGGCATCCTCATTCATTTATTTATTTTCTTGTCGGCTTAGTCCCTTTATTAATCCGGGGTCATCACAGCAGAATGAACCGCCAACTTATCCAGCACGTTTTTACTCAGCGGATGACCTTCCAGCTGCAACCCATCTCTGGGAAACATCCGTACACACTCATTCACACACACACTGATACACTACTGACAATTTAGCCTACCAAATTCATCTATACCGCATGTCTTTGGACTGTGGGGGAAACCGGAGCAACGCAGGGAGAACATGCAAACTCCACACAGAAAAAGCCAACTGAGCCGAGGCTCGAACCAGCGACCTTCTTGCTGTGAGGCGACAGCACTACCTACTGCGCATCACCGTAAGGGCATCCTTTGTGTGTGTAAAACATATGCAGGAATAGTTGGCGGTTCATTCCACTGTGGTGACCTCTGAAGAACTACTGATCTGGCTCCAAAATTGTTGTTGGTGAGGGGGACACATTAATACAGATGTTATCATTACGCTAAAATTGTATTAGTCAGACCCTCACTATACAAATAGGACAGAACACAATGTTATATAGAGACTTCTATGTACTAATTGGGACCGCTTTCCAGTTAAATCCACCCCTGCCAATGCAGCTGAACTTGAAAAATGATCATAGCATCCATCATAGTATAAAGAAAATCACTCTTTATCTATTTTAAATCATTATTCTGGTGAGGAAACACCACAATCACCTGCACCGAGAGACTGTAGTGACAATTAAATCACATTGAAGCACAATACTAAACGCTGGCCTGCAAGCTGCTCTTTCCTCTTAATTCTCCCGCACTCTTATTCATGCATTTTTGAAGTTCTCTGATCCAGCCGATGAATAATTCATTCTCACTTTTGGATTTGCTAAACATGCACTTTTTGTGTCTGCAGTCCATAGTTGAGCTTTAAACATACAGCATGAGTTCAGAAGCCCCGGGATACATGAAGTATGTTAAACTAATGTTATTATGT